GCAGGATTACTGAGATCAGAGACCATCAAGAAAAAGACTGGCTTTTGATAGATGACCGAGCGTCAGTTATCCCAGAAGTGTGTCTCTAGGGGACGCACATCTCACATTCAATGGAACCTTTACCTACTGCTGTTAAATGTCTAGGAACTGTAAGAACAGACTGCAAAGTAGGCGGGACACGTGTTCTCAGCGCTTCCCACATGCTAGAATCCATGGCTTTGGAAAGCACAGGATCACATCGTCTCTTCCTGATCGACTGGCGGGCACCTCAGGGATGCACTGGTCACCACTTTGTGCTGACATCTGCTCAGATGGTTACTTTATGCAGCCAGGATAGATCACACCCACTTGACTGCACCTGTCAAGTCTTGATGAGTAAAAGGACAGACAGGCTGGGACAGGCTGCGATGGCAGAGACTCGGCCCCAGACTGGACCCCATGCCTCCAGGCAGGGGGTCTGCAGTACCCCTGGTCAGGGTCCAGGCACTGGGTTCACACTGACACCGTTATGTCCTGTGGGGACTGGAAGGCTGTGCAGGGAGCAGGCGTTAAGGCTTATTATGCCCCAGGACAAAGTCCACTGGGAGAAACAAAGAAAGTCTACTAGATCAATGAGGTGGAAGTCACTTAAAGGAAGACACCAGCAGTGCAGCAGATACGAGGGAGGGGCCCCAAGAACCAGGAACTCTCCCTCCTCTCCTGGGGCCACATCAGAAAGACTGATGTAAAAAGAACATTCTGCATGGGACAGGGGACATCCCAGTGCCTGGAGGACGTGGCCCTGTGACCAGCAAGGGGCAGAACACAGAGTCCCAGAGGGGGTGTTGGCGGAGACACCTGGTCAACGATTCAGACGCCGGGGGAGCTGGGCAAACAAACTGTTGTCACTGACGTGTGACCGTCCTCCCTGTGAGGCCCCATCACCCAGGAGCTCCTGTTCCTGCTCGGTCAGCACATGGTGCAGATCGGGGTCACCTCCTCCCCGTCCTCCATGGAATCTTTGACAAAACCAGGTCAGAGAGGGGCTGTTAGGAGGTGAGGAGTCAGCATGTGTTTCAGGGAGATCGTGGGCTCCTGGTAGAGCCTGTCCAGAGGAGACACAGCTCGTGAGCTGAGTCCTCCTCGTGGAACCTGTGTGATGTTGCATGTGTATGTGTGTAAAAGTGTGTGTTAGCATATTCAAATGTGTCTGCTTCTACTTTTATGTGAATTTTGCTATTATGGTGTTGAATTTAAATTTATAATGTCTTAATATGAAACACAAGTTGAAAACGGACAATTTGTAACACTATTACTTTATTAGTCAAATAGTGTGGAACTTCACTGTTAGGTCTTTATTTAGAATATTTGTAACAATGTTTAATGACAGTGGTTTGTAGTTTCCCCTCTTTAATATTTTATTTATCAGGTGTATTCGTAACTGCTTTAATTGCTTTCTGAATGAATTATGACATTTTACATCTTGTTAAATATTTTATTAAAATATACAAAGCTATTTGTTTGGAACCATTTGATCTCTGAAGCATTTTTTAAGATATTCCTTGTGAAAAAATATATATTATGTTTTCATATCATGAAAAAATATATTTTATATTTTCCTTTGGTGCAATCCTATAATGAAATTTTCAATTTTTCTTAAGAAATTACTGTGTTTACTTGTTTCCTCTAATAGAGCTAAGTTGTAAATTCCTAGGAGTGTATGCATCTTATTTCCTTTTATTAAAAGCAGAAATTGTTAGGTTTCTTTTCATTTTTAAGTTTCCACATTTTAAAAGCAGCAGGCGCTGTGAGCCAGCCCTTTGCTTCCTGCACAACTGCTCAGGCGGGACTGCTCACTGCAAGGAGCTGAGACTGGGGCAGATACTGCGCTCCTGATGGGGATTCAGCCGTGTGTTCACTCTGGCTGGCAAAGTCCCCTGACAGGGACCGTTATGGTCTCAGAAGGTGCCTCCTCCCAGGGTCTCCCAAGAGGGAGGCCACCCTCCATTACCCCTAGACTGGGCTGTGAGCTGAACTCCAGCTCAAGGGCTCAGGGAGGGGCTGGGAGGTCCTTGGGCGGACACTTATTTGCATGGGCCAACCCTCCTCTTGCAGAGGCTGGCAGAAAATGAGGACCTGGGCGGCTCAGCCACAGTGTGTGGATCAGGTTGCTGTGAGCACCATGGCCTGGACTCCTTTCCTGCTCCTGGTCCTCTCTCACTGAGCAGGTAGGGAAGGGCCTCAGGGACCGGGTCTCAGGTCACTGACTGCAGCAGCCCTTGTACGTAGACTCTGGGAATGTTTCCTGCATTTCCCACCACATCTGCCCCTTGTGTCTGTGTCTGCAGGGTCCCTCTCCCAGCTTGTGGTGACTCAGCCGCCCTCCCTCTCTGAGTGTCTTGAAGAATCAGCCAGACTCACCTGCACACTTAGCAGTGGGAACAGTGATGGCAGCTACTACAAGTTGGTACCAGGAGAAGCCTTCCCCAGTACCTCCTGGACTACTACTCAGATTCCAGTAAGCAGCAGGGCTCCGGGGTCCCGAGCTGCTTCTCTGGGTCCGTAGATCCCTCGGCCAGTGCACAGCTTCGGCTCATCTCTGGGCTGCAGGCTGAGGACGAGGCTGACTATTACTGTGCTGAGTACCACGGCAACACTGGTGCTTACACAGTGCCCGGGCCTCACGGGGACTTGAGACTGAAACCTCCCCTGTGCGCTCCCCACTGGGCCGTCACTGCTGCTCTGCCTGGGACCAGGTCACACTCAGGGTGACTCTCTGTTGTCACATCTTCAGGCAGCACCTGGGTTTCCTCCGAACAGCAAGTCTGACCCTGTCACAGCCTCTATCTCATCTCACATCTGAGACTGAGCATTGCTGTTGTATCTCAGCCTGCTGGTGTTTCCACAGGCAGACAGGACTTCCTCTGAGATGAACTCCTCCCCATTGGGATGTTATAAGTGGCAGAAAATGGTTGGTCCCGGCCCTGCCTCCCTAAGAGTTTAGGGGTATCTGAGATGCTGGTTGTCTAGACTCAATTTGGGCTTTGAGATACAAGACCTTCAATGGGAAAGGAGTGGTAACCTGCATAATAACAAAGAGCCATTAAATATTAAATACAACGTTAAAAATGCTGTTCATAAAGGCAGCAGAAATAAGAAATATTTAAGAATAAATCTGACAGAAACCAATTCTTGTACATGGAGCTATGAAACATTCCTGACATACGTTAGGAAGACCTCAATGAAGGGACATATATATCATTTTTATGGTGAAAACACTCAATTCAATGATCCCCAATGTGTCTGTACATCATTGGAGGTTGCAATGACAGACCCACACAGTGAATGATCAGGAGGAAATCTCAGCAAAGGAATGAAAACAGGATGAAAAGACACAAAGGACCTTCCAGCAGTGGGAGAACCTGGCTCAGTGGGGACTCCTGTGGGAGGGTTTTCCTGCGCATACAGACCCTGCCTGTGTCTCCCCCCCTGTCTTCCCTGTTGGAGCATTTCTAGCAGTGCAGGAGGGGGTGAGGCTGTTACCATCAGGAGCATGGACTGCCCCCTGCACATCGTGAATCTCCTTTAGAGCCCGGTTGCAAGGTCCCCGTCTCCTGCAAAGGGACCTGCAGGAATGCGAGGTCACCTTGTCCATGGTCTCAAGGCCTCCAGGCAGAGCTGCCACCTGCGACCCAGGACAGAGGAGGATGACCCTCACGGGTTCAGCCCTAGTCTCTGACTCCTGTTTGTCCTCTCGGCCTCCTTGACCACCTCAGGGTCCCAGTCTGAGGGGAGGGTTGATTGTGCCTGTAACACAGCCAATTTCTACCCACCATCACCACGAACTCCAGAGCTCCGGGGAAGTGAGATCAGAGTTCTCCCCTCCGCAGCCCTGTCTGACACATCACTGCCCTGTCCCTGCCTGGGAACAACACCAGTGCTGCTCTGACCTCCAGTCACCTGTGCTATTGACCCCAGGCAGTCTCATGCTCTCACCTTGGTCCATATTTATGGGTCCATGAAAACGACTCCCTTCCTGACTG